ACTTTTAGACCACCCATGTTCAAGGACGTGGTGACCCAGCAATTCCCAGGTTCTGGAGATTTTCTAGCTTCGGAATGCACTTTTTGCGTGACTTGGGCAACTACTTAGTAAGGAACCTCGACATTGTACTTATTGAGTTTTCACCAATCTCAGATACGGAACGGTACTTTTGAGTCATTTTGTCTTAATAGATTTGGAAGCCAAGGTTTTCAATCCAATATCAATCATCAAAATCCTTGAATTCTGCAAAATCGCATGACTTAAATATATCTCAGTTGGAATGAGCTCGCTTCTGCAAGATAATTCTTCCGATTTAGGCCTAATTGTAACTGAATCAAATAAGCATGTTAATTTCCGGAAAGACCTTTATGTTGGAGAACCAAAATGCGGAAGAGCCTTATTATGCAGTTTGAAGCTATCTTTTTCTACATCATCGTATTTGATTAGAATTTTTTTTATTATGCTTGCAAAATTCCTGAAAATACAGTTAAAATTACATAATGTTTCCTATCATACAGATCTTATCGGCCACATTACATAGATAGAGAACGATAAGTCGCTGATGGTTCCCGGCGGATACTGCCACAAGTCTTCGATGGCTGAGAGTGTTTGATTTGTTATAAGAACAGAGAAAACTCCTTTGCCGACAACTCCAGCAATAAGAGGATCTTGTCCTTTTCTGAAACCCCCTAGGAGACTATCAGCTCAACTTTTTGGCATTTCAATAACTAGGCGAGGGAAAGGGCGTTTGGGGAGATTCAAAAACTCAGTTGTAAGATCTTTGTTGCAGATCAAAGTTATGTAAAGCATGTAAAAAAATTATGTGAGGAAAAAAAATCTATGACTTTTTCTTTTTACAGCCACCTCAGGTGGCTGTCCAGGTGGCTGTAAAGCCACCTAACTCCGAAGAAAGTTTGCCGCGGCATATCCAGCTTGCGCGGTAAGCCACCTGTGCGGAGCCCTGGTTCCGATCAAGAGCTTCAGCAGGTGAATTGCCAACTTTTTTGACGCAGGCAATGTGTGTTTCCTCCTGCGAGTTTGTTTTGAATTTGGCGTAGTAAAAACAAAATCTCGTTTACAAATTATTTGAAATCATTTTACAATCGCTTCGGCTTCGTTTCAAAAAGTTATAGCGATTCTCAAAATGTGCCATTCACTGAGTTTAAAAGAATACGTATATATAATTGCTTTATCGCCAAAGGCGACCTTCCTGAGTTAAGGTATAATGTGATCAGATTTATTTATCCATAATAATGTTAATTATTCTGTTTTTCTGTTGTTTGTATTTGTCGCTAAACATCCCCAACGGAATGGTGTACCTCGCAACGGAAGTGATCGGTCAGACAATCAAGTACAAATCGAGCATCTTATCAGTTTTCATTGCCTTAGCTTCATTTTGAATGCACAAATCAACGTACCCGTGCTTATCACTAGAACACACAACAACGATGTGGAGAACAAGTTAAAGAGGGGTTACCTATTGGCTGATGAAGGATGTTTGGCGGTCCCAGGTCTTCTTTGGTACGGTTGGATCCAGCAATACTCTGATCAAGAGCAAGTCTTCCGCCTCACTAGGAAGTGCCCACAGGATGAATCCACAAGTATCCAATGAAGCTGCTTGAGGGTTTAAGTCTCTGAGCGGCACTCTCAGTATCTGAATCATTGTTATTTTAGTTTCTAAAAAAAGTTTGATTACCCGAGTTTGACAGTTTGACATCAGCGAAGCCCGGGTGGCGAACCCACAGTTCAACAGCAAACAAGAATTTCTACTTGCTTACTCCTTTAAAGGTTTTTGAGCTTTAAAATACTTTAGACTGGGTAGCACAGTCAAGGATGTCGTGATGATGCAGTAAATGCTCCAGAATGCTGGTGGAAAGTACTGCAAGCAAAAGACGGTCTTTTTGGAACGCGAAAGGGAAAGAACGCAAGCTTCTTCTGGTCAACAGCATTCCAAATAACTGGGATGCGAGCAATTTCTATCTCAAATTTGTGCTACATTTCGCTTAGAAGAGCACTCGGATAGAATGGAATGAAGTGCAAAGCTGATTCAGGCATTTCAACGTTTTTCCTCTTCAAAGACCCTTGTATCTTGTGTTGTATACAATCCCCCTAAGGGATCACGACAATTCAACCAGCTGAGACAAGGAATGATGCTCGAAAATCTTAGGGCTTATACAGGGTGTCCCAAAAAGATGTGCACACTGTTTGATTGTAAATAACTCTCTTGTAGTGAAGCGTTTCGAGAAGCTTTAGGTACCATTTTGTGGAGCGAGGTTCAACTTAGATTTACAGTGTAGAGCGAATCGCCGGTCGTTCATTCTTACTGTAGGAGTACGGTAGAAACTTCAAACATATGTGAAAAAAGGGACCGTTTCAAAAATTTTCAAAAAAATGTGGAAATTTGTGTAATAGGGTTTTTATGGACCCTGAGTTCAATACCCAACTCTTTACAAGGTTGAGAAGCTTTCTAAACGGTGTAACCGCAGTTTTTAGGAACACTTAAAAAACGTCTGCTACTGCTTACCTCGCATAATTTTTTAATGAAGCATTAGGAAGAGTTGCGAACTTCACATTTAGAATCAGCAACTCTAGTTAGCCCAGTGTGAGAGTTTCCAGTTTGTTTTGGTTTCTTTTTGGAACAAATTATGGCCTTTCATGGCTCAAAACCCTCTTCAAAGTTTCTACCGTAATCCTACAGTAAGAATGAGAGATCGGCGATCCGCTCTACACTATAAATCTAAGTTAAACCTCGCTTTACAAAATGGTACCTAAGGCTTCGCGAAACACTTCACCAAAAAAAAGTTATTTACAATCAAACAGTGTGCACATCTTTTTGGGACACCCTGTATACATAGGAGCAGTTGCATTAAAAAAATAGAGAAAAATAACTGCGTTACTGCTTTCGCACTAACGATAAGAAATCAGTCCGTTCCCAGCTGGCCCACAAAATTTTCAAGCATTTACTCAATTAACTGACTATGAATGATGCTGATGATACAATAAGACATTAACCATACCAACAAGCTAAAACACGAATGCTGATGCCAGAAATTCTGTGAACTGCTCATGGCATCGTTTGTAACTGAATTATGTGCGTAGTAAGGAGAATAGCAGCTTTAGCATTCTGATTCCGGCCCCCACTTCAAATAAAATACAGGGTGTCCGTAAAGTATGTATACACTGTTTGATCGTTAATATCTCTTTTTCCAAGAAGTCTCTTGCCTACCTCTAATCACCATTTTGTAGAGTTGGCTTCAACTTAGATTTGCATTATAGAACGAATCACCCATCTCTCTTCATTACTGTAGGATTACGGTGGAAACTTCAAACGGGGTGAGCCATGAAAGGCCATATTTTGCCTCACAAAGGAAACAAAACAGCCTGAAAGTTATCACACTAGGCTAGTTAGAGTTGTTGATTCTAACCGTAAAGTTCACAACTTATTATGATGCTTCATTGAAGAGCTATGCCGGGTAAGAGGTAGCGGCCATTTTTTTCAATGTTCCTAAAAAGTGCGGTTACACCGTTTAAAAAGCTTCGCGATCTTGTGAGTTGAGTATTGAACTCAGCGTCCATAAATACCCTATTACACAAGTTTTCACATTTTCTTGAAAATTTTGAGATGGCAGCTTTTTCCACATTGACACCATGTGTTTCAAGTTTCTACCGTAATCCTACAGTAATGAAGAGCGATCGATGTTTCGCTCCATACTGTAAATCTAAGTTGAAGCCAGCTCTACAAACGGTACCTGAAGCAAGGCAAAAGACTTGTTGGGAAGAAAGATATTAACGATCAAACAGTGTATACATACTTTACGGACACCCTGTATAGTCAGTGCACCCTTGGTATTCATGCACTCTGACCATTCTAGAAAGGTACGCTAAACAATTAAGGGGCTCCAGTAATTCCAAGTTTTTTCTAAATTTTCTAAGTTTTGACTTGAATATGAGGAGCAGGGCTCGGCACAGATGGATGGCAAGCTAGATATCGTTTTTGGAACAAAAAGCAAAGAAGATACGTTTTCGTGTCGAAAAAAACACACCTTAGTTTACGTTCTTCTAGTCTACGTTTCGTTTTTCTAGGGTTTTTACGTTTAGGGTTTAGGATCAAAGGGACTGTGTAAGATTTTGCGAAAGTCAAGGGGGACTTGGTTTTTTTGCATTTTCGGAAAGCCACCTCGTGCCGAGTCTTGATGAAGAGAAGGAGTAAGATTTAAAGCTATGTCAGTGTGGTAGTGTGTTACTGGGCCAACTGGCCTGCATGGGCATTTCTGATCCAATGTTGCAGTTACGTTCACGCAGAAATGTATGAACTCTCGCACGAATATGACATCAGGCAAGCACTGTAATAACTTCAAACAAAAGTTGACAAAGCCTAATTTTTTTAGCTGAAAAGAAAAGCTTAAATTTAAGATTCAGGCCGCTTGTCAATAACAGCGACAGTGCAAAGTGTAAAATATAGGGCCGGGCATACCCGTCACGCGATTTTAATCGCGACGTGATTTGGCAACATTCCAACTGTCTATAACTCACTGTAAGCACATTCTAAATATACAGAAGATGGGCATTTCATCAATCTATGTAAGTTATACACAATATGCATGTGCAGTTTGCTAGTATTGAATCTGGAGACTTCTGGCGAATTGCCAGATCGCATCGCGACTGAAATCGCGTAAAGTATGCCCGGCCCTTAACACTCTTCACTGTATTCATGAGGAAAACGTAAAAAGAGTGAGCGAATAAGAGTAAAGAAGAGAAGCTCTAGCTATGGCCAGATGCAGTACGGGTCTTTCCAAATATTTTTTCTTTCACTAGAATTAACAAAATTACCTGCCAACTTTACGTTTGCATTTACATAAAACACCAAAATTTTGGGCATTATCCATGATGGTAGTACAAGATATGGTGATTTATGCACGAGTTTATGGAAATGGCGAACACTGTATCAGAGATGCTCAATGGCGATTAATATTCTATAACGGCTTTTTGTATTGCTGTTTATGCGCGTTTCGCTCCCCATGTCAGCGCCTGCTAGAATTGCAAATTGACTTGCTTACAAGCTTGTTAGAATGTGAAGATTATATGTCACAAAAGCGTGCATCCCACTATCAAACGTAGAGTTGTTCTTTTTATGATGGGTGCTTTATTTTTATTAACATTGTCATTTTAGGAGATACCGAAGAAAGTTGACAAAATGAGAATCTTTTGCACCATCGCAGTGGTAAATCCTACAGATATTTGCTTATATTCGAGTTCTACATACATTGCAGATAATCCTCATCGTTTGTGAGTTTGCTAGTGGTAACGCATTGGGAGAGCACCAACCTGGAGACCCTCCACCTTTCGTCGGAAAATGGGAAGACTACGAAAAAAAACTCTGATTCAAACGTTACTATTAAAGCCTTGCACATTCTTTCAATGCTTAAAAGCTCCACTCAATTCAAACAAAAAACTAGAATTTTTCCAAATAAATTGAATAAAAATAGTGATTTCCAAATGAATTTTTTCAATTAGTTTCCAAATGCAGCAGTATAAAATTTGCGTTCGCGTATTCGATTAGAAACGTTTTTGGTGACACCTCAAACTCTAGTAATTGAAGCTTGTGATGGTTCCTGTCATTGAACAATTATATTATGTGAGATCGAAATTTCAAAAGTTGTAGATGATCCTGGTATTTGTTTCACTTTCATTTGCATTCATTATGATGTAATCAGTTAGCCTTTCATTGCATTCTAATTAGATACGTAAATTAGAGATCAAGTCATTTAAGCCTAGACTCTCACATCACATTAGCGAGAGTATGCATACATGATTGCTATGCGACTCCAAACATCATAGCCGAACTACTGTAATGTTTTAAAAATAGTTCATTTCTTTTCGTTTGTCAACAAGCTGTTTAAATACTTTGTGATTGTCTTCTTCGGCCGAAATCAAGATGGTTGGGAACCATATTACTTACATTAACATTTGGGTTGGTCACCTTCGTCTCATTAGCTATTTCGTCTTTGAAAGACGAAATGACTAATGAGTAGTTCTCCCAAATGCACTGTACAAAAGAAATGGCATGACTTGAGGGGTGAACAAGTGACTAATAGTTCCTCGAGTCATATATGCCATTGTGGTTGAGAGAATTTGGGAGAACAAGTCACACTAATAAAGTCCCGGTCTGCCACGCTCTGACGAAAGTGACGGCACCAAAACTTTGGCGTAACAAGAAATGGATTGTAGCCGTGACCATCTAAATATACAAATCAATACATTTGTCTTGTAGAGCTGATTCAAAATCTAAGTTTCTTATCTGCTGCGCGTTTCTCTGGAAGCATTTATGAGCGATCTAACTATGGAGTTATTAAGCCTCCACTGCCAGCTTGTCATAAAAATCAGCTTGCTTTTTGAAATTGTGGCACTGAATGCCAAATTCGGAACTTAAAACTTCTTTTAGAAAACTGCGCAAAAGGTACGAAGTTAAATTTGAATCAGCTCAACAAGACGCACCTACTGATACGCAATTCGTTCCAAATCGTCACGGCGACCTGGGAACCCTCCATTGTAAGTGATGAGGTTTCTAGGCTTGGATTGAGTTAGAGATGGCAATCACAAATCACAAAGCTATGCCAAGACATTTACATGCATGAAAATTATTACGGTGAAGCGAGTACGACTTTCTAGTTAAGGAAGGGAGCAAACACGGCTGTAGTTCTCCAAAGAAAGAAGCCTTTTTGCCTTGCAACCTGAACTATTCTATAAATCAAAAGCGGCCTCAAACATTCAAATGAAGGAATTGCTTGTTGGTTTATATAATTCCAAGTACTGTTATCAAACTAATCACCTTTACTTTTAATAAAACACAACAATCCCTATTGCATGATTGAAAACTCGATCTGGCAAGTGAATTAACAGAAAAGTGCAGGCTCACTATGATTCGTGAATTTGCTAGTTTTGTTAGCCTATGAATAGAAACACGATGTCACATAGAAAAAAAAAGTTGGAGCTCCAACTTGGAAGAAAACTTTGCGGAATGGACCCCTTTCATATTGATTTTAGGTACTATTACTCTTTTGTGAGAAGATGATCTTGTGTAAATGAAGACAAATTTTATCAAGGTTGAAGGACCTCATGTCAATTTTTGGACATGAGGGTCCTTCAAAATTTCCATGGCTGACAATTTCGTTACGCTTTTGTTTTCATTTCTCATGTAACTAAGCAACTTCCAGAAAAAACTCAAACAAAGGAAAAAAATTTGAGCTTGAGGAGAGAAAGATAACTTCAGGAAGGTCTAAGCAAATTCTATTAGGTTGTTACAAAAGTAAACTTCATTTTTAAATAACTTAAACTGTTTTTGTTTTTTTTGACAGATTTTGGATACTATTCACAGCAAGCTCTACAAAAAGCTACCTAAGATCTACTTAATTCGTGACCTAGGTAAAATTTGGAGCCAAAAATCAAAAATTTTCAGTTACTTTAAGAATCGGATCTCCTTCCAGAAAATTCCTACGGACTTCTAGCTGGGTCTTTATATAGAGACACATAGTACTACCCAAAAATGCATTTAATGGATTTTTTCCGTGGCACAAAGTTGAGAAACAATTAGGGTCTCAGAATACCAAAATGCCACTTTTTTCGGGTTTTTCGTGTAAAACTTGGCATTTCTCGATTATAAGAGCACATACAGGGGTAAGGTTTTGAAATTATACCTAGTAAGGCTTGTAGTATACAATGACATATGTGGGAGGGGCTGAGGGCGTAGTTTGCCATTTTTGAACAATTTTTGTTTCTAGCTTTCTATGCTCGGAAAAAGTTCGGTGAAGGCATATTTGTTTACTACTATATGCCTACAGTATAATGACCAAGTTGGAGATCTGTAGGATTCTTTGTCGCAGAAACCCAGTTTTCAGGTGGAAATTTTTTTCGATTTTGGCTTCAAACTTTACATGGAAGGCGACTTAGGCGGACATTTGGCGGTCATTTTGTAGAGCTCAGTCTGCTCTATCGAATCATACTCTACATCTACCAGGAAATCAAAAACAGCTTGAGTTATTCATAAAAGGAATTTACTTTTGGGACAACCTAATAGCTTCCTGACAGCAAGGAACCAATAAGTCACAAAAGATTAATATTTAATTCAAAAACCTAACTTGCCATTGCTTGCGTGGTGCTGCGATAAAAGCCTAGGTAACGTTTGTGCAAGTAACGTGCGGCAAAAACTTACACAACCTGCAAAAAAGACGCTGAAAATCTGCAGTGATGAGGGATTCTGTAAAATGACAATTTCAAGAGATATCTTATTCTTGCGTTTTAGGGTTGGAGCCTGCCTCAGTAATGTATGGACTCTGTTTGAACATCCGTTATAAAAGAAAACTTTCTATTTTAGGATACCGAGCTGCAATTTTAGGTTTAGGAAAAGTTATTGAATTTTTTTTTGAATCACGCTAGAACTTTCGCGTCAACGTAACATTAGCGAGCGCACTTTTGACAGCTTGCCCTTTTGCAAAAAGCTATGTTTAGCCAGAGAGAACATCGACATCAGGAGAAGGCTTTGAACAATCGTGAACGGCACAGTACAAACAGGAGATTTTTAAAACGCCGCAGTTATTTCATTCACATCAGCAAGCAAATGCTAGAGCTGTTCACTCTATGTTTAAACATCTGCTAATTGCAATGATCCCTACTGCTTAGCCATCTTTTGTTGTCTATACCAAATCATTTAAATAGCGACTTTGAGCTTTGTTACTTTTTGTCAAAGGCAGTGTCCGAGCAGACACTAGATCCTAACGCTCCTGGCAGGTCTTCACATAGCAAACACAATCGAGCAGGTACTGTTTACCTGTGATTAATTGCTTCCGACAAGAATAGCAACAGGAGCACTCGTCCAATGTTCTCACAAAATGGTCTCAAAAGGGATATTACGCTTTTCATGTGCCATATTTGGAATCAGCGCCATTAAAAGGCGTGGGTGAGGCAAAGATTGGATGACGAGATTATGCCCAGACGCTGCCTTTAATCTTATAAGGGAAGGATATTTACTTAAATTTGCCTTCCAAGATGAGACATATATATATTTGGAATCACTCGGAACGCTGACCAAATATGTTGTTTCTAGCTATTGAGCATCATTTTGAATCGACCTATGGACTTTTTCCTTTGCAATTTGTGCTCATCGATTACTGATGCTGCGGTGCCCATGTCTAGGTGGTTTTAAAAGGCATAATGCTCGCTTTCATAATCGAAAGACCTTATCACATGCTAATTCAGCATATAGCACTTTTTCGAGCAGATTCCCATTTACAGGGTGCCCTACCCTATTTGAAAATATGTCAGTTACTCGTAACAGCAGTCACATAACTCGCTTAAGAGTGATGCTAGGCAGCTAGGAACGGCATATTTGGAATCAGCATCAAGTTGATTTCAAACGTATATGTCTCATCTCAGAGGGCAAATCTAGGTATCCTTTCCTTATTAGTCTTGACAATTACGCCTAAGCTGCCACACTTTTGTTACATACGTAATCTCTAAACTTCTAACCATAGCTCCATCAGTGTCTCAGTTTTCATACTAAATTAGTACTACACTGTCGCGGACTTCTTGTGCTCTATGACGTACAGTGTTTTGTTGTTCTAATGGATAAGAGTGTTCGCAAAGCTCTGTTTGAAAGAAAATTGACGGAAATCATCATAGAACTAGTTTGCAGCGGATTTGCATATGTTCCCTCTTTGATGCAAGGAAAGGCGCTTTATTTTAACGGTCTTATTACTTACACGAAATGAAAAGTTTATGCTCTCTCCGGAAGTAGGGGAGGAGATCCTATAAATTTCTGAGTTTTCATAATAATATTTGTGAGACATTTTTTACTTTAAAAACCGCGGCAGAGTGCTGCTGAAAGGCACCCCGATTCGGTAGTAATTTGACCCCGAAAGGATTATCTTGTCGTATTTGCGCCTTTTCTCTTGCTTGAAATAAACGTCTTCTTTTGAAACTTCTGCGACCGTATGCATTTTCAGAAAAAGCTAGTCATAATTCAAATCAAATTATTCCTGCTCGCATATTTCCTTGTACAATTATTACTTGAAAAATCCATCAGATTTAGAAACAGGCTTCCGCAGAAACGTCGTCGGCACATGATACTGTACTTTGAAACAGTGCACTTCTACATTATATTCGCTGTAAGTTTTAAATTTATCGAACCCTAAGAAAATCAAATTTTATTGCAGGTAGCGGCTCGTAAATCTCCTGCAAAGCGAAGTAGGCTTTATGAAAGCTGCACGCTTCCTGAAGACTTCATAAAGTCGTTGACCAAAGATTTACAACTTCATATATTAGAAACAAGTTTGGTCAGTCGCCATTGTTACAGTATCTACTAGCAAAAAGCTTACGCTTATTCAACTTTCTGAGAGTAGGAGGTCCGAAAACGCTTTGTGCACGTCTAATTAACCAGTCTACTTGAGC